TGGGCGCTCACCGGGGGGCTAGGTGCTCACCGGGGGGCTGGGCGCTCACCGGGGGCAGCAGCTCAGGAGCAGCTCCAAGCCCAGCCTGGGGCTCAGCCCTCCTTCCTGTACCACCTGGCCCTGAGCATTTGTGCCCAGCCCAGAGGCAGTGGGAACAGATCATGCTCCACCCTCAGGGCCACCGTGCTGGTCCTGCCAGGACCTCTGGGAGAGAGCAGTCACCCACCCTGTGCCCTACAGCCACTTTCAACCCCAGAAGGTGGGCACCCAGTCCCCAGCAAAGAAGGGAGGTTAGGCCCCTGTGGGTAGAAGGGGCAGTGCTTCCAGATCCATCCTGCAGATAGCCCAGTGTCCCCCAGGGCCCCTCGCAAGGCGGCCTCTGGCTGGAGCAGCCGGGCCTGCTCCCTCCCTGTACCTCGAGCCTGAGCCTCGGGGCTCACCTCCGCGGGCGGGAACCTCAGGTGCTGGCCCGCAAGGTCAACCTGAGAGCTCGGGCCTCAAAGAAGCCGTCTGTGGTCCAGAGGCAGCCTGGGCAGAAGTGGGGCTCAGTGAGAGGGCAGAGCGCAGGCCAGGCCATGCATCAGCCTGGAGCGGGGAGCTCCCGGTGGTGCCGCTAGCACTCTCTTGGACCTGCAGGAAGAACAGGTGGTCTTGGGCCTGCAGCCAGCCGCTCTGGAGGTCACCAGGGGCAGGGCTGTCCAGGAGCTGCCACCTCAGGGCGGCTGGAGCTCAGCGACTGGTCCTGTGGTGAGGCTGCATCCGTGCCGGTCACCTGGGCTTGTTTGCCGCCCCCCACTGCTGGTCTGGCTGGTGCGCCGGGGCTATGGCGCCCGGCCCTGAGCACGTGCTGAACTCTGCCCCAGCTGTGCCTGGGGGATGGCTCTGCTGAGAGGCGCTGACACTTGTCCCAGGGCAGGCTCCCTGTGGGGAGTAGGACCCCGAGGGTCCACACTGCCACCAACCAGGGCGGGACGGAGGGGGCTGGCTCCAGGCTCACCATGACGCTGGTAGTGCAGCCCTGCAGGGTACTCTGACGGTCCCCGAGGAGTCCTCAGATGTGGCGCAGGGCCCCTTCTGGGCTCCTTCTGTCCCCAGCCGGGCAGGGGGATGGCTCTGCGTCTGGGGTTGTGATGGAGGCTGGAGGCGGACGTCTGCTGCAGGCCGAGGTGATCCTGCTGGGAACCAGCGAGGGGGGGTGCTGGGCTTGAGGACTCTGTGCCTCCCGTCCTCGCTCCCTGCCGACGGTCTCCCTGTCTGGGCCTCCCCCGCCCCTGCAGCCAAAACCACAGTGACCGTCACACAGCCCTCAAGTACACAGAGTACCCAGAGCCAGGCTCAGTGCCCATGGCAGAGATAAACATGGGGGCCGAGCGCCCCCACCGAGGGGTCCACACGAGCTCAGGCAGCAGACCCACCCTGTTCCCACACACGGGACACGTCGGATCAGACTGGAAGGTTGGGGGGCAGTTGCAAATATCAAGAGAGCAGGGCCTGCGATCCTAAAAGAAGATCGGGCAGGCTTGGGGCCAGCGTCCAGAGCGAGGCAGGACAGGCGATGGCTGGGGATCTCTGTCACGTGGCTTGGCAGGAGGCACTGCAGGGTGTGGAGGCAGAGAAAGAACTCTAACCACGCTCTGCTGTGTTCACACGCACAAAGATAAAAAGTGAAGAAAGCAAATGCCTACTTTTTTTTTTTTTTTTGGACGAGGTTTTTTTTGCTATAGGGCGCATGTGTTCGCCAGACAGAGAGAGACAGAAAGCGAGAAATCACCCCCCAGGGAGGATGGCCATGCCGCAATCCCTTCTCCTTCATTCTCCTCTCGGGATCTTGGGCACGCATGCACATGCACCCGGCATGAGTTTAAGCCACTGGGTCCGGGACTCGAACCTCAGTCGACTACATGGGAATCCAGCGACATAGCCATTACGCCATCTGCTGGTCCCAGCAAATGCCTACTTTTAAAAGGTATAAAAAAGAGAGACAGCTCCATGGCTCCTGCGATCTAGCCATTTGGGGAGAAAGGAAGATGTCCCACTGATAACTGGGCCTCCAGCATCCAAAACTCGCATGATTGAACTTCCAAGTTTGGGAAGAAACCGATCATCCACCAGATGACTAGAAATCGCTGCAGGACCACAAGAAATATGGGGAAGCAGGAAAATACCTCTCCCACAAGGGAAAAGGATAGCTCCTTTTTATCCACCCACAGTTCAATGGAAATCATGGAAATGTCTGATAAAGAATTCAGAACATTCATAATGGCAAAGCTAACAGAGATGGAAGAGAAGAGAGACAAGGAACTGCTGAAGAGGAAGGAGAAAGGAGTTGAAGAGTTCCAGGAGGTGAGGAA